AAAGAACCACGGATGCAGGAGAAGTGGCAACACACACTCTTCCGAAGACACCGCCCCCTAACACTGTGGGTGATCTGGAAGAGGCGCTGCAAGCAGACAGTCTCCAAGCAGTCAACGTCGGTGGCGGAGGCATGGGAAGGGCTGATGCGGACCCTACTGACAGAGTATCACTCGGATTGGCGCAGACCAAGAAAACACATTCAGGAAGATCCCACCAAAAAACAAGCCTTAGTTGACAGGTTAAAAAAAAAATGTTCTGGGCGGTTGCACATTGGGGGCCGTGATGGGCAACACCCTCAGACTCATATGAGGGGCTCAGAAGGGACCATGACGACCAGATGTTAACCGCCCTCGACATCCGCAGACACAAGAGAGGCTCTTACCTTGGCCTGAAGACTTTTTGGGACAGATGCTGGAGGGCTTAGGGTTTAACAGAGCAGGTCGGAAAGAAGGCGCGAGACTAAAATGTAATGAACCCAGTCTACAAGATACTCGTCAGTTGTCGAAATACAAAGTAACTCAACTCTGAACAATGTCCCCAATAATCATGAATGTGATTTCTGATACAACGTCTCGTTTCCGGTAGACGAAGAGAGTGGAGGGGGAATAGACAGAGTAGAAGGTGGAAGAGAAAGTAATCATCAATGACCACACAGAGAGTAGCCCAACATTCCCCACTCCTCCGGGCTTCCCCTCGCCTCCACGTCAGCAGAACAGTATCCAGTAACGAGCCTGACAAATCCTGATCACATTGAAGTGCCACGTGGCACTGTTCTCTCATGAAGACATTGACGACAATCAACAGCGCACAGTATCGACATCAACCTCAGGTAATTATTCCGATCCTCCTCAATCATCCACAGATCCCGATCTCCCTCCTTGTCGCATCCAGTCACCCAATGTAGACAGCGCAGGCAATGCCACGTCAGTGATGAAGACAGGTGGCATGCGCCACATCAGCAGAGGCTGGCACTCAGCAGAGAAGGCGCCAGCATGCTGCCTCCGTTCCACGTCGTCGTCCACAGTGCCAGCACAGAGCCAGCGTCAAGCCAGCGTCCAGCTAGCATCAAGCCAGCGTCAAGCCAGCATAGCAAGACTCCTTTTTCACCCCCTGGAGGCAGGGTCTTATGTAGTGATTGACCGAGTTGACCCGCCTCAGGTCTCCCACCCACGGTGGCCCAGATTGACTCACAGCCGAGGGCCTGGATTGCGTACAGTTGCACACTTTCACTTGTTCCTGATGCTGTCTTGGTACCTGCATACAAACAAGTGCGTGTATCTAACCGGCGGCCTGGGCTGGGTACATACAGACTTTGACTCTTGGCCCGCTGGGCAGTTGACCAAAGTCAACTGTCAGGCGCACAGGCCCTGGGTCAACAAGGGAATTTCTGCCCCTGGCCTTTGCGTCCTCAGACCGGGGTAGCGGCCTGTGTGTGGCCTGAGGGCCACTTAAGGGCATATCAGGCGAGGTATCGCAAAAAGGCCAACAGAACAAGGCACTGTGGAGCAGCAAAGGCAGACAGCCGTAGGGGTGGACTCACATTGGAAGAACATAGTGACTCTAGAATATAACGAATACCTGACAGCTCCAACAGCTGAGATGAGACTAGGAACTCCCAGGGAAGGCACACAGGAATAGGGTAGGAAGACGGCTAGATCTTGCTCATAAGCGAAACTGGCTAACGCTGCCAGGATAACTCCAGGTCAAATTGTGAGGTCCCCGTACTCGATTTTCAAGCTATAAATGAAAATTTTCTTGTGAAAAAAAAAAAAAGAATCCCGTTCATATACCTTTCTTGAGACTGGGTCATGATAGATCCAACCTATGAGTGTTGGTCAAGCACTGAGAGGGCATGGGGGCAGTATAAACTAACGTAAGGAATATGAGCAGGAGCGATAGACAGAAATCCAAAATTGCAAAATCACAAACTAGTCCAGAGTGTCGCACACCAAGCAGAAAGCACAATGCACCAAGATAGAGCCAAATAAGAGCAATACAATGAACTCAAATGTCGACGTTGACACTCTCTCGCCACATCAACATAGTATTCCTGATTGGCGCTCAGCGCCCAGCCTATCCTACTCAGCCTACTCTAGCCTACACTGCGTTCATGCAACATGATTGACTTCAATGCTGAAGACCAATGTACGTGACGACATCGCCCACGCAGACTGCCAGCATTCACCATGTACGTATCTCTCTCCTCTCACCTCACTCCACGACTCCACCTGTGTGCATCCCCGACACCCGAAGACCACCACCACCGATTACCCACTCTGCACCCAACAGCTCGGCTATGACCGCCAGGCGCCTGCTGCCGCAGCAGCGCCCTTCACCTCTCAGCACCCGTGTCCGCCCTGGCCAGCGCTAGCGCAGCATTGCTTCGCCCAGCAACGCAGCAGCGTGGCCACATTGCCTGCCTGGCCAGAATGTACTCGCTGCTGGGTGCTCACTTTCGTTTATGGAATGTGAGCCCTGCCATCGGCCTGGCTGGGCCTGGCGTGCAGGGGCCGAGTAGTGTCTGCGCCCAGGCCCACTCAGACAGTTGTCTGGGCCCGCAGCTTCAAGATGCACCCAACCAACCCACGGGTCTGTGACGTGTTCGCTGCTTTCTGATAGGCCGAGAGGCCTGCATCCACGTCGAAGCTTCCAGGAGCCTGATTCTAATTCTCATGAGCAGGGCGTTTGCAACCAACTGGCACGTGGCAACTGTCTGGCGTCCAACACAAAGAATTCGCAGATTTGGGGCCCCTCAAAGATTCTCAGGCCCACCTTCACTTAGGGCCGGCGACATGCTTGCTGGGGGCCCCCTAGGCAACTGGAGGCCGCGGCGTGCGGCCATGTGAGGGCTAAATCCTCGCACTAAGCATATTAGTGGAAGTCAGATGTGTTCTGTCGTTCTGCTTTCATATTTCATGTGGAGGAAGTAGTCATATTTGGATCCCTCTTCATACTTCATCCAATTGAATCCCCCATCCACATTTCTGATGCATCTGTGAGAGCGGTCCTGTCAAACATTCTGATGTGAAATTCGACAATTGGTGCATAGGGGACTGGGTAATGTGTGAGAGGGAGCTGAATTCTCCAAGATAGATGGTGGGATCTGTGCAAAAACGTTATCTGATGCCAAGACCATTATTTGCATTTGATAAGAAAGTGAAGAAAGAACATGAGAGAGAGAGAGAGAGAGAGAGAGAGAGAGAGAGAGAGAGAGAGAGAGAGAGAGAGAGAGAGAGAGAGAGAGTACATTGGAGAATGGGTAATTTGTGAGAGGGAGCTGGGATAGATGGTAAGATCTGTGCAATTTTTTTTATAATGCCAAGACCCTTATGTTAGGACCTGCCAAACACGGACTGAGACACACAGCTGATTTCCGAGTTTTGTCCATGGAACGTGTGCCTTGCTGAGTTTCCCGCTTGTTGCTGAGTTTTCTAAGTCTGAGTGTGTGTGTGCTTACTGGTTTGCGTGCCTGTCTGAGTGCTTGTCGGGTTGATTGTGTGTGTGACGTGCAAGGTACTTGACTGTGCGGGAGGCCCAAAGGGCCGGTACTTACCTGTGGCCGTGACATTGAGGGGTGCAGTGGGGAAAACACTCAAATGGCGGGGAAAGAGGCCCGCAACACTTGGAGCAGCAGAAAAACACTCAAGTAGCAGGTAGGCCGGTACCACACCACGTAGAGATAGATGTGCTGGGTACTCGAGGCCGAGCAGAAGAAGATGAAAGTTGGTGTTTTTAGAGGCCCAGTAGCTGTAGACTAGGTCTAGGCGGGTACCAATCCAACCAGTCTGAGTCTAGGGCCTGTACGGGCAATATCAGAGTCTGCAATGATGTTTCCCTCCGCAAGGGAGGAGGTACCGGTTGCTGAAGGCCACGCGGCCTAGGAAGTCACCGCCCAAGAGGCAAGCCGGCCGCTATATCCAGGAGCAGAAAAGTGCTCCTCCTCATTTGTTGGCGACTGTTGGCGTGTAAGTTTGGCGACACGCTGCTGGAGCGACCAGCGGACCAGCGCTAGCAGCAAGCACTGCTAAGCAGCGCTTGGGGGAGGAGGAGTGCCCAACTCTCCACCGTGCCTACGGTGGAAGGAGCCGGGCAGGAGGAGGAGGAAAGAGGAGGCTAGTAGAGCGGAGCGCCAGGGGACTTACCTGGCTATGGTGGACGCCATCTTCATCACGTTGGTGGACGCTGCATCTGGAAGGCCCCGCTGGGGTAGAGCTGCACCAAGGAGCTTCGACGCAGAGTCAGGCATGGCGGCCTGAGCAACCATAGCTGCTTTGTGTTGCCCTTTGCACATCAGGGCAATGCCCTGGTAGTCCGCCATAGCCTCGGCCTTTGAGGAGGAAGGAGAAGGACGGCCATGGCTATGGTGGACCTCATGTGATACCTGCAGCAGAAGAGCGATTCAGACATTGATTCCGGTTCAACCATTCAACATTATTATTATTATTTATTGTTTGAATAAGAGGGAGGAGAAAAGGAGGAGAGTGGTTGGCGAAGAAGAAGGGAATTCTCATTGGTCTTTGCTGACGTTCATCTTCTTCTTGTTCTTTCCCTCTCTCTCCTCTCAAGTTCATTCATTTCTTTTTGCAATTGGACAGCATTGCAATTTCTCATGAATGTGTACTTCGAAATTGGCCAGGATCAGAACACTTAGWTTTATTTCTTAAGAAAGTGAAGGAGAAAAYKYTKGWGWGAGAGAGAGAGAGWGWGAGAGAGAGAGAGAGAGAGAGAGAGAGAGAGAGAGAGAGAGAGAGAGAGAGAGAGAGAGAGAGAAAARAAAATTCACATAACAAAGTTAACGTGCCAGTGTGGCAGCGGCAAGGGTTGTGTATCAATGAAAATTCTGAATCACTGCTCCTTGAGATCTCGGATGTGTTTCAATGATCATGCCAGTTTTGTAAAAGCCAAGCACAACCAGAAAAACAAATCTGTGCATGCGGAGAATAGTAACCAAGGTGACAAAGATCCAAAGCAGGATACTAAAGGAGGGAAAACAAATCTGGCTGTGGTAGAGTAACTGTTCACTGATCCGTTCTACTCCTAGACTCAAATGTGAAGCGAAGAGCTATGGAGAAGACATGGCTTACGATTTACTCACAGTTTTCCCTTTGCTCAGCAGGAGCCAGGCTTCTGAAAGCGCCTCAGTGTCCTTCTGCACCAGGTTTGTGAGCTGATGCCAGCTATACACACGTAACCGATCATGGAGATCTACCCGCAGATCCATACAACCCGATTGCTGTTCTGATGAAATGTCCCCCTTGGACGAGGAATGGCGAGCTCGCCTCGGTTGTTTGCGCTGACACGGAAATCGGACAAAGTAAAACTCGTGTTTCTCCATGCAGCCATCAGGACACAGCTCTGGCTCATGCTTAACTCCAACCATCTCAACAACAATCCCCACATGTACCCCGGCTGGAAGAGTATCAACCTCACCTTTCCGTGAGTCATTAATTTCTATATCATCCATGCACACACTTATAATCGTCCGTCCTAGCTTGGCTCTCATGGTGACTCTTTCATCTGCCCCTGCCAGTTGCAGTGATTCAGACCTCATATCGATCTGCTGTCTGAGCTTCCCTCTGTGAGCAGGAGTTGACACATCATAATTCCCAGCTTGAGTTGCGGACCCCAACAGTGCATCATGCCCTTCTGAAATTGACCCACTAGCCTGTCCATTCACACCATCGGCAGCTTTTCCACAATGACTACCACCTCTCCCACCGGGGCCACTTGTGCTACTAGGATCACCACAGTTTGTCCTGCAGGACCGCCTCCGTGCTGGCAGAGATTGCCTTCTCGCTTGTGTGTCCGCCATGACACGTGGAGCAACTGAATCATCTCTATGTTGATCTTCATCAGGGCATCCCATCGCCCCCTTAGTCCTGCCAGCCTCAGTCGGAACACCGCCTTTCTGAGAGAGTGCACTCGGCTGAGCTGTAGTCTCCTTCATTTCTGCATTCCAGTCATTGTGCAGGCTGCTCTCATCATGATGTTGATTGTAGCACTTTCTTGTCTGCACGAGTGTTCCAGGGTCAGGAATTTGTGCTTCGGAATCTGTTTTCGTGACGCTCATAACGATTGGCTCCCTCTGAGCAGAAGCTGCAGCCTCTAGTCCGGCATTAGGGGCAGATCGCATCTGTTGCTGAGTACTTCTTCTGCACCAGCTCCTGAGTGTGGAGGCCAGGTTGTCGGATGCAGTCCGGATGCCCGTGGTCAAATAACCAGAACCCAAAACTATTCCAGCATCGGACGTGGTACCGGTTGACATATCACCACAAGTGAAAGCCTGAGCAGCTGTATCCTTCACTGCATGGGAAACTCTGCTTCTCTCCCCGGACGAATGGTTGCCATGCACAGTGAGTGTCATCAATGTGTCCGCCTCAAGGTGGGACAAGGTCAGGTGCTCAACCAGACTCCTGGAATGACTACCAAGATCTCTGCCTTGTTTCTGCTCAATACTGCGAGTGGCCTGTGACATCTCAGAAGTATCGACGGTTGTTTTGATTTCCCTTCGTAATGACCTGCAAGATGTTTCACTGATTAATCTGTTGGTCCCTCGCACAGATGCACCGTTCACGCGTGAGCGAATTGTTGGCATTATCGCACTTTGCGCAGCCAACTCTGGCTCTGTGCGAAGCATCTCGTTGCCCTCAGTCACCGAGCTCGAGCTCAGTCCATCTTCTTCCAACTCAGCAGACTGCAATTCAGGACAAGGAACCTGCAACTCCCTGTCTACAGGCTTGTCAGCTTTTCGCAGATGACAGGGAAGTTCTCCATTGACTTTGACTTTGGGGTTCAGAGACCTTTGACTAAGGTCTGAAGGTTGTTGTCCTGTAAATCCAATGTCTCCATCCGGTTCTCGTTTTCCCGCGAGTCCAGAATCTATCTCCAATCTCTCTGCAGAGTGTTTGGTTTCCTTTCTATGACAACGGTCAGGAGGTGCGTTGTCTCCGCCATCTGCCACTGCCACCCGGGCTGCTGCTGCAGATGAGCCATCTCCTCCATTTGCCACTGCCACGCTATCGGCTTCTGTTGAATGCACTGTGTCAGGTCGTAGTTTACCAAGACCGGCTGCAAACGCGGACCTGGCGCTGGGGTAGGGTACAGATGTCTCTTTTGCCAATTCTCTCACGACTTCTTCGGCCTGAGGAGGGTTCACTGCTCCCAAGGGCACAAGACTCTGCACACTCGATGACTGAATGTAGCGTTCGAGCTGCACTGCAGAACTGCAGTCCAATGCTTCAGCGGGTTTGGCTGCTGGAGTGCCTGAGCCCTCAGGAGCAGAGTTGGACTCGTTTGTTGAGGGCAAGCTGTCTGCCAAGGAAGGGGCAAATTGGCTGACACTCTCGGTCTGAAACATGGTCTTGGCAGGCGGCACACCAACAAGGCCCATAGACCGTTGACCTGACCCCGTCAGGCCCACAACAGGGACCCGTTGACCTGTCAAATTCAGCTCCCTCTCGCTGTCTGACGTCTGGTTCAGTGCATGGAACAAACCGTACACCAGGGGAGGGGCAGTTCGGCTGACAGATTCATTCTGAATCTTCGTGTAGTGGTTCTGAACCGGGATCTTGGCAGGTGGCATCCCTACCACGCCCAGGGCCTGTTGACTTGACCCCTGCCACTCCGTAACAGGGGCCCGTACACCGGTCAAAAGAACCTCTTCCCTGTCTGACTTCCAGATCAGTGAATTGGGTGAAGCACTGGAGTTTGAACCGTGAGTCCTCGCCTCATAGCTCTCAGGCATAGCAGTTACTGTTTGACTGGAATGGAAGATTTTGCCTCCATCCACCTGTTTCCCTCTCTCTGAAGAAGCTCCAGTAATCTCTATCTCTCTGTCACCTTCTTCCTTCCTGCAGAACAAAGTCTGAGGCGACCTATCACTGTTTATCCCGCCTTTGTGGTCCCAAACAGGTCTCGCACCCATTGGTTCTGATGCTTGGCTTATCAACGGATCCCTGCCGTTGGATCTAGCGCCTCCTTCACTACCCTTACCCCAGGTCCACTGATCTGGCACAGACTGACCTCCACCTTTTGACTTAGCAAGTGGTGCGGCACACTGTTGATCGTTGGGTATAACCGATACCACTGGGCGGATATCCAAATCAGTGAAATCACTGTTTGATTTGCGTTCGGCACATGGCCCGTTTGCGCTGCATAATGACCGGCCACCTTCTCCGCAACCTCCACGTGCGGTCGTGGTTGCCTCAGATGCTGAAGATGCGCCTTTGCCCACTCCCATCCTGGAATCTGACTGATCTTTCACTGAACTGTCTGACGCATTTAGCCGATTAGCCGATGATGATGATGCTCCGACTTGTTGCTGACACTTCGTTGTTTCTCCTCCACAACCTCCACGTGTCATCGTGATTGACTCAGATGCGGACGATGTCCCTTTTCCCGGTCCTATGCTGCAATCTGACTGAAGCTTCGCTGAACTATCTGGCATATTAACCCGGTTGGCTGGCAATGCTCCGGCTTGTCGATGGCACTTCGTCGTATGTGCAACCCCTGTCGCACCTGCTACTGCCGTTGACTTATCCACTACCGCTGAGTTTTCTACTATCGTTGTCATTACTGCAGCAACGTTACCGAGTTGGAAATACTTTCGAATGTCTGTCGTTTTCATGCCGGATTGTGTCGACGTATCTTTTCTTAACAGACCTCTTGCATGAACTTTGACCTGACGCTGAAGTTCCAGTTCACTGACACTACTCCGCGGGTGCTTTGGAAGCGATTGAGGACGAGGGGGAAGAGGAGGAGCACGAGCAGGAGGAGGAGGAGGATGTCGAAGAGCCAATGAAGGAAGAGGCGAAGGAGGAGGAGGAAGAGATGGAAAAGGTGCCCTGGGCGGAGGAGGAGGGGGTCTAAGAGGCAGTGAAGGAAATGGTGCAGGGGAATGTGGACAATTTTTCCCAACCTCATGGCCAATCTGGTTTTTGTCCTTAGATCGAGGGCAATAATTATTAATCGCAGGAAAGTTTAACGGAAAGCTATAATTAGACTTTAAGTTATCGTATGGCGTGCTCGTAGACAACAGTTCGTTATCCTTTAGTCTACCATCCCCCTCGCTCTCCAGCCTTCCTCCTTCCTGGCAAAGGACAGGTTCAACGTCCTCCTCCTCCTGCTCCTCTTCGTCGTGCTCGTCTTCCTCCGACTCCTCCTCCCTCACCTCTTCCTCTATCTCCATCCAGTTGAAAGACCATGTCTCACCCTCACCACCCCACTCCAGAGCAATTATATCCTCTTGTAATTCCATATCCATTCCCATTCGCTTGGTCATTTCCTTTTCCATTTCCTTGTCCGTTTCCTCATCCGGCTCGATTCGCTGCGCCTCGCGAGCTTGATCGTCACAGAAATAGGAGATCATCATGTTGGATTCCGTGCACGGTGGCTGAGTGTGCGAGGAGGTCATCCTCCTTCGCTTCTCTCTCTGCTGCTCCTGTCGCTCGTGACCTGGATCGGGATCGGGATGCTTCCGTGCCATCCGTGGCAGTTCCCGCGGCGTATCCACGGTCGAATTGAAAGGGCGGAAGAGTTCCATCCCGACCATTCTCTCCAAAAGCTCCTTCTTCGTTTTGTTCCCAGCACCCATCAAATGCAAAGCCAGAACTTGTTGGATATCCCCCTTCTTATAGCGATTCTCATCTAGACCTTGGCAGGGCTGCACGGTAGAGTCCATGCAATCTCTCGTCAAACAAGTGTAGATGTCGGCGTACAACTCAAGGGATAGGGGAGAAAGGAGTGCTTTTGCACCAGGGAGTCCTCTCCTTGGCCCTTCCCCTCCCTCGTACACAAATGAGGATGTCAGGACCTCAGACCGACCGTCTTGCTCGACACGTGTCATCGTCTGATTGCCTCCAACACGGCCAGCTGCAACCCCCCTCCTCCTCCCCGCCATCGCCGCCAATAAACCCGACTCCTCAATCATGCCTGCTCCTACGTTGCTCCTCCCGTTCTCCTCCTCTCTTCTGTAATCAGCACCACGAGGGAAACTGAGCTTTCCCTCGATCTCAGACAAGGATGGAGCCGTTGACGTCAACCTTCCTGGCAGCAACACCGGCATTCCCTCCAGCCCTTCTCCTCCGAAGCCATCCATAGAGTTGCACTCGTTGACGTCAAACATGCTCCTGTTGGTCGAATCCAGGTCACGAGCAGCAACCGCGGCACGACGAGCAGTAGTGGCAACAGCAAGAGGAGCATGAGCAGGGGGAGGAGGAGGAGGAGGAGGAGGAGGAAGAAGAAGAGGGAGAGGAGTAGGGAGAAGATGAAGAGGAAGAGGTTGGTGAAACGACGACGATCCTCCACGGGAAGGTTCGGCAGACTCTTTAGTCCCGCCCTGCACCGGACCCGAAGTTGGCGGGAAGGACAGGGTCCTCGTCGTCGCTGACGTCAACGAGAAGGGCGTGCTGGGCTCGCGCGGCTGACGAGATGGTGACACGTGGCCTAACCCCGCTTGATTCAATCGAGTCCCGCCGTGGTCGTCTCCATTTGACTTAGTATCCTCCACTCTCTTCCCTCCAGAGAATGATTTTGGTCCCGCCGCAGGGTTTGCCTCCTTGCCCGTCAAAATCTGAGAGCTTATCCCACTTGCACTGGCTCCGAACGAAGAGGCCGCCACTCCCATGTCCGAGGCTATGCCCGACGCCCATGGTCGGGGGACAGCCAGTGTCGTCGCCAGCCCACGCGGCGTGGCATTTGCTTTCCTTGCCAGTGGCGCTGTTGTTGCCGACGATCGAATCCCGACCGACGAGCTGATGGCCGCAGACGTCACCACGTGCCCGATCGTCACTCCTAGTGCATCCTCGCTGGCCGTGTGGTCACCTCCTTCACCACGTCGGTCAACCCGACCTCGACCTCTTACACCGGATCCTGCTGTTCTACTGCCCGCAAGGATTGACGACAATCGCAATCCCGATGAAGCCGACGAGATTAAAACTCTCCCAGCTTGCCACGTGGCACACTCTCGCTGCTGCACTTTCGGTTGTGCTGATTCCGAACAATCACTGGTTTTGTCCGCAGTATCCCGTCTCTTCCGGAACTGCTGCCACGTGTCTGCCCTGGTCAGTCCCGCAGCAGACGCTGCTGAATGGCGTTGACTGCTCCCCGACAAGCTTGATGTTGCGATAGACGACGAGCCTTCTCCGTCCGGAGCCGGATATGATCGAACGCCGTCTGCAAGCGACTGGCTGCCGCACTCGCTCAGGTAATCGCTCCACGAATGAGGTAATGCCATCGTGCGTGATATCACCCTTGGTTCCTGCCGCGTTTTTCTTTCGTTTTCGCTCTGTAATGACCAGCCAAAACACAGACTAAGAACACTGCTGATTTCTGGGATTTGCCGCTGGAATGTATGCCTTGCTAAAATTCCCGCATTCTGCTGTGATTTATAAGTCTATGTATGTCTTCATATTCTGAAGTTTGTCGTGGTTATTTTCTAAGTAGCTCTAATTTTTCTGAGCCAAAGCCGGGTAATGGCCCCGGCATCCCAATTTTCAAAATTGTTGTATGTATATTTTCATATGGGACGCTGGGCCCGGTTCCCAGCACGTGTTGCTCCCCACGAATAGATTGGAGCCTTGTTCCCATTAAAAAAAAAAAAAAAAAAAAAACATGCCTGCTGGTCTGCGTGCCTGTGGCCCGCAAGGGTACTTGCTGATTGAAATGCCCGGCAGGGCCAGTACTTACCTGTGGCCGTGACTTTGAGGGTTGCAGCCGGGAAAAAACTGAAGTAGCGGGGGTAGGCCCGCGGGAAAAACACTCAAGTAGCAGGTAGGCCAGTACCACTCAAGTAGTGGTAGAAGTGTCGGGTACTGGAGGCAGAGCAGAAGAAGACAAAAGTTGGCATTTTTAGAGGCCCAGTAGCAGTAGGATAGAGGTAGGCCGGTACTAGTCCAAGTAGCCTGAATCTAGGGCCTGTCCGGATGATATCAGAGCCTGCAATGATGTTTCCCTCCGAAAGGGAGGAGGTACCGGTTGCTGGGAGGCCGCTCTGCCTAGGAAGTCACCGCCCAAGAGGCCAGTAGGCTGCTATATCTTAAGGAGGAGCAAGCAGCTCCTCCTCATTTGCGGTGTGCAAGGATTGGCGACATACTGCTGGAGCCAAGCGCTGTACTTGGGAATGTCGTTGGGAGGAGGAGAGCAGCTGGGCGCTCAGCCTGACTATGGCGAGTGTGACGAACCACTTCCCGACCCCGTGCCATCTTTCGTACCCTTTCTTTTGCTTGTATCATACCTACCCCAGGAAAACCCCGTTTTGAGTTCTTGCTTTCGGGTGCCGCATTTTCCTTTTTRAAGAGCKTTTTTTTSRACTACTGAGTTCTGTTTTTCTTTTTGCAAAGTCGAGAAATACATGGGAATTTACGTGYGCCCTAGCGAGCGCACTAGGAATTGGGCTCGGTAGTTGGGAATTCCAGGATAAGCGGAACTTCGACGTGTCCTTTTTGGGTGAGTRGATGTTCTTGGGCGCGTCGGGGAAAACTCTCGGAATTTTGCGTGAATACGAATAGGCGTAGGATTTTCTTTTCCCGCGTCGCTTTTTCGCGCGCGGATATGGTGATTTCAATTTTGAATTAGGATAGAAGCAAGTTGTAACTGTTTCGGTGCCTTTTTCTTTTTTTGTTGACGGCGCCATGCATGCAAAGGCTTCCTCCTCTCTGTCCCCCGCATCACTCCCTCCCGCGCCTCCCTTCCCTTCTCCCTCCTTTTTCTCTCTCCCCGTAACTGATTTTCCTTCTTCCTCTCCCTCTCTCCCGCCTTGCTTTCGCACGCCCATTTCCCTTTCTTGATCATMTGAATYTTGGACCCGTCTTGCGCCACCTCTCGCGCCTTTTCTCTTCTCACCCTCTAAGTCTGGCGTACGACGCCCAATCGATCCCCCGATAACTCCCACTCGCCAATCAGGAGCGTGGATCGATAGGACCTTCCTATCRYGCGACGAACCTGATTGGTTGAACCTTGAGTTCCGAGGGATCAGCATGGCGTTCGTAGAGCACTCTTCTCAAAGTCTTCTCCACCTGCTTCTCCTCTTACACCTCAGCTTTCCTGTCGCCCTCTCCCCCTTCTATCTCCCCTGTCGCAACTATAAAACCCGCAAGCGCGTCCGCAAATCTCTCTTACGTTCTCAACTCTCGAGCCAGCTTCCGGGAAGCAGTGCCTAGGCAGAGTGTTTGAAGCGAGTCGGAAAGTCCTGTCGGGTTGACGATAGACTGGCCGGTTGCGCGCTGGATCGCCACGACGGACTGTGGGATCTGGGTGAACCATGTTGAGTTTACGACAGCGGGGTAACGATCGCAGTGGTGTGAGTTAGCACGCGACGGTCGGGATCGTCGGTGCGGATATGAGGATCGATGTTGAGTTGATTGGCCCGGGGCCATATTGGAATTAACGGCGAATACGCCTTTGTTGCGGATTGTTATCTTTGGCGTGAGTGTACGGTAGTGACGCTGAACTTTTCTCTTCTTGGATCTTGTCCCCTTCTATTCTAGACCTTCTTTCCCTCGACTCTCCCTCTCTCACTCTCTCTTTTTGAATGATGATGCGTCTGAATGATTGTCCCTCTCTTGAGTARGAATGAGTTGGCATCCTGCTTCTGTGTGAAAGAACTTCTTCCGGAACTCTTCCATTAGTTTCYTGGGTAATCCTCCTACGCAAAGACCCCGTCTACTTGTCTTGTGAACGGTGTATGCGTGTGTATTGTACAATGCGATCCATCTTTTCCTGTACATTTTCGCACCTTCCACAGTAAATGCATGTATAGAGATGCGTGACTTTTCCAAATTGATTAGACGAGTGTCRTCGGGATTTYGTTCGAGAATGCAAGAGTGTTTCGATCTGTAGCTCTGTTTGCACTACGCAWGCCATCTRCCTTATGCTGCACGACATCAGCAKCCGAAMCRCGAGGCRGCCCTGAGAAACAAGGCGCCCAGGGACCAACGTTGTGTTGAACTGATCGGACTCGTAGCCATATGCGTGRTCAAACTGATCTGTGTTTGCTCTCTCTCTTGTGTCAAAAAGATTGATTGGGGGACGCGCGAATYGTTTTTGTTYTTAATGACGTCTCCGGATATTTTGTGATTGATTGACATGTGGACTRACAAGTACCCTTCAATTGGGCGCCAGCCTCCCGTGTCTCCCATCCCAACGCGACCTTTTCCTWACAGTGAGGAAAGGACACCTGTATGTAAGTGGGACGTACGAGAAGCCGTTGCACAAATCGGCGGGCAGTATTACTTCCCTCCGGCCAACTGCTGTTYTGGGTTCGTAGAAGCCGGGTTTGTTATTATCGATACGCACTTCCCACCTTACTCGGTATTGTTGCCATTTAACGAGTTAATCGTCATTCCGTGGACGGCAGTAGAACCCCACTGGCCGCGCACTCTGTGCACCGAATGTYAGCGTTTTGATCACTACGAAGCAAAGGGCTTCCACTACCGAATACAGAGTGAGGACGAGCATAAGGAAAGAGCCACTTGGCTGAAACCATCCACGTCGGATTCGGAACTGACCAGCGAACGAAGACGAGATCTGGTACGAAAACGAGACATGCGAAGCGTGCCAGAGCCTTTCCGTTCTAAACGGCGGGCTGTAGCTCRGTGGGAAGCCCGACAGTACTTTTTGGATTGAATTTGAATCTTTCTGTTTCCGCGCCGTGTCCGCGCGCGCCTTTCGCGATGCGCGAAACGATCGACTTGCTCCATCGGACCAACACGGGGGATTTCAGTTCTGTCTGTGTCCCCACACTCAATTTCCAAAAATCATCTTGCTGTTTTTCTGGGCCTCTTTTTCGCACAGCTAACACTCCGAACAGAAGACAGCACAGGGCGTGAGGTTGGTATCGGAGCCAACACGTGTCGGTTCTGATGATAGTAAGTCGAACTGGCGAGAGGTAGGAGAGTCCCTCAACTAGCTCGCCGAGATTGCCCCGTAACCAGGTCTAAGTCTAGTGTGGCTGCACCAGCAATACCAATGGTGGACGGTGCTAGGGTGATCATTAGCATCCCTGCCCCTTTTCCCTTCTTCCCTAACCATACCCATCCCGAGGCTTGGCTGGAAGATGTCGAAGCTCAAAACGACAGTGCAACCGATCTTCCCCATATTCTGATATTACTACTTCGCAACACATCACATGACTGGTTTAGAAAGCATACGTGGGTAGATTGGGATACTTTCAATTGAGCATTCTTGGCTCGATTCAATACGGTTAGTGAGGATGTCGCCTGGTATGTACTCGAAAATCGACCGCAAGGACCAGGGGAATTATTGCCCGATTTCGTCGATCGATTTCAAACCACGTTGGATAAATCCGGGCGAGACGAGAATTCCGCTCGAGACTTGTTTATTGATCACCTTCGAAGTTCGACCTTGAAAGCGAAACTGCAAAAAAGGGTTCCGCCGAAAAAAACCCAGTTATCGGCTATCATCACTAAAGCGTTGGAGTTAGACTTGGCTGATACAAAAAAATATTTCAGCCAGGGAGACGAGGATATTACAGATACCATACGGGATGTAACGGCCAAGAGGCGATTATGGCTACAAGCAGTCGAACGGTTTTATCCCCGCCCCGATCATGACCTTCCCGGCGGAATCGTCTCCGATATCCCGATTGTTTCCCCTCCCTCTCCTCCGGTGAATCAATCAATCGCAGCCGTTAGAAGCGGAACCCCATCCGAAYCCCCCTCGCCAGCCATAACCAATTTGCATCTTGCCCAGATGATCCATACGGCCAATACTAAGCTGTCCGAATGGATGAGTAACCTGATCCAACTGCAGGCGGCTCATATGGAGCGGATGGAACAGATAATGAGTAGGCTTATTAAGCCTAACCCAGCTCCTGCTCGGCCTGCCCCTGCATCGTTTTCACTCTTACCTGCCCCACCTGCTCCAGGGTTCGCGCCTCAGTTCCCTCATCTAGCTAATCCAGCAGGGAAGATCGAATGCTTTAACTGCAAGCAGCCCGGGCATTTCGCCCGGGACTGTCTGCAGTCGAAACGTAATCAGCCTCCCCCTGCGGCGGCCCCCGTCGCCCTTAATCAGGGACGAGTGGGCGCTCTGATGGATACGGATCAAGGAAGAGAACTTGTGGCATATGCCACAGAACATCCCTCCCCTTCGAT